TGCCTTTCACATCCTGAGTAGAAGAAGAAGATGGCTCAGAGGAAGTAGACGCTTCTGAAGATCCTTCATCTGCATCTATGGCCATCAAGCAGACATAGGCTTTATCCACCACATCCGAAGATGATTCATCGGATGACTCAGCCCAGTCATGCTCTTCAGCAATAAGGCCTTTAGCCTTTCGCTGGTTGTTCTTCATCTTCTTGTACTTCTCCTTCAGTTTTTAGTTCTTCTCATCTTTGGTCTTGAAGAAGGAAGGAGCTTTAGAAGATGGTGTCGCAGTCTTCTTTGATCTGCATTCACCTGCAAAGTGTTCGGGCCGGTGACAGTTGTAGCAGACAACTGAAGCCTTGTCTATTCTTTCAGACTTTGGCTTTTCCCAGAGGGACAGCTGAGGAGATCTGTGGAAGTTGCTCTTACTAGCGAACCTTCTAAATGACTTAGTCAGTAGTGCCAGGGACTCATCAAAATCTGTTAAATCAGATTCTGGAATGTCCTTAGAGGCAAAAGAATCTATCTCCATGATAACAATGGGAGGAAGAGAAGAAACAAACGAGGTAGAAGAAGTTTCAACTGAAGAAGCTTCAGAGATCAAAGCCAAAGAAGAGCTTTTCATTTCCCTGGATTCTTTTACAAGATTCCTCTTTAGTTGACGAGATTGCTCATGGTTAAGTAGAATCCCATACAAAGTAGAAAGAGAAAGAGTGGACATGTCATTTGACATCTTGAGACACATGGAAAAGGTGTCCCAAGACTCAGGAAGGCATTCTAGAAACTTAGTTAAAGTTTCAGAATTAGAATATTCTCTTTCGACAGCCCTAAGATCAATAAGAAGGCAGTTAAATCTTTGATGTACTTCAGACAATGTCTCAGAATTTCCACAGAGAAAGCTTTCATACTGTCTTACTAGATTGATCTTTCTGGTCTCTTGAACTTGAGTGGTTCCTTCATATTGGACACAAAGTGTGTCCCACGTGGATTTAGAAGTTTTGAGTTTATCACTAAGTGATAAATCTCATCAGGAAAAGACATAGCTATTATAGACCGAGCACGTGTATCCGTAGTTATTTTCTTCTTGTCCTCATCGCTCCATTGATGTGGAAGCTTTGGAATCTACCGTTCTGGAATCGCGGCAGTCGTAGTTGTTACTGGAACAGCCGGAGCAATAGTAAATGGAATATATGGTCCATTTTCTATATAATGTGGAATTTTATGATCCACACCTTCCAGAAAGAGATACTAAAATTGTCACGGACAAACCGGGGAGGTTTGGCAAGAGAGATATTATCTTTTGTGTGTGTGTTTGTAATTTGTAAATCCATTTGTAAGCGGTAAAGTTATCTAAGAAAGGAGATAAACTAATACAGAAAACAGCTAAACAGACAGATAGAGAGAAAATACTACTCTGATACCACTTGTTGGTCCCTTAAGGGTCTACAAGAATAGTAAAATAGTTTGTAGAAGGGGGGGGGGAAGAATATAAACACAATATTTTCAAATTTAAAATATATATTAATAGAGAAGATCAATACATATTTTACAAGATTGTTTGCGGAAAGATAAGGTGATAAAAACCTATATAAACAATCTTTAGTTACACATTAAGTCTTAGCAAATACAAGAAAAGAAATGTTGTAGAGAAGATCCTTTAGCAAATACAATCTTTAGTTAGAGAGTGAGTTGCGTGCACTCTGTATGGAGAAGAAACACTTATATTTATACCCAGTGCATTAAATGAACATTTAATGCAATATGGTAGGGTTAGAGTGCATGTCAAGCCTTAAGAGGAAGGCTTGTCCTTTGCTACAGTGAATAGTACAAAAAGCACTACTCATGAGTGGACATCCTTACCTAAAGTTGCTGGACAATAGAGTCAACTAGTCGGCTCCGTACGGTACCAACTTTCATAAGGGTATGGGTTTTGTCCTTTGTGTGTATAAGGACAAGACAACAACAATCGTGCTAAGCAAGCTTCCTTTGATTGCTGAATGCTGGAATGACCTGAAGGTCTCTTCATCATTCACTGAAGCTTGAGCAGTCTTCACACATATGTAGACAGACTTGTAATCACTGAATACCGCTTCAGATCAGGTACTCATCAGTCTCTAATCTTTAGTTTCAGTCTTCGACATTTGCTGAAGGTTCTTTGGTGTGAGTGTTTTCTTCTTGAAGTATTGTTGTCTCTAATAGATTTACAATGCAAGTTCTTCAGCGATCACTGAACATACATTTTATACACTTAAGATCAAACCCATATGAAACCCTAACTCTTTCTCAACATGCAATCCATATAACAATAATGTCAACCAAAAACAAGTGCAAAGATGGATTATACCTTACTTGATGATCAAATCCTTCAAAGATCTTGTAATGCCTCTTTTATTTGAGTTGAATCGAGCCTATGTGTGTGAAAATCGCACCTCTAGTGTGTGTGTGTGTGTGAGTTCTGGACTCAAATGACATGAAAAATGGGCCAAAAATCCAATTTCTTATGCTAAAACCCGAGTTGGGTCGGGTTGACCCAGCTAGGTACCCATTTTGACTATCAACACTTAAAATATTCATCTTTTTGCTCGGACCTCTGTTTTCTATGAGGTTTTCGGCTACACGTTCATAAAGAGATAATCTATAACATCCAACAAAAATATTCCAGAAAAGATCTTTCTAAAAAATCAGTTTTACGTATCTATTTGACGTGAAATTTTCCTAAATCCTCTAATATATTCCTAAGAAGTATAATTCTAAAATTTCAAACCCAAACTCCCACTAAATCATAGGTTCTCTTATAAGGACATTACTAAAACACTAAGTAAAATTTTTCACTTTGACATAACATGAAACACAACTTCTCACATAATATTTTCTTTAACCTAATAATTAAATATACTTAGCAAATAATTTGGGCATATTAGAAATTGGATGTAACAGTATCATTAGCAGATTCATGGATTCGCCCAAAACAAGTCATTGGGAGGCAGGGAAGACGATTCTCAAATATGTTAAAGGTACATTAAATCATGGAATTGTCTATGCTAAAAGCAAATAGTTCAAACTTACTGGATATTGTGATAGTGACTTTGGAGGCAATATGGATGATAGAAGAAGTACAACAGGTTAAGTATTTAATATGGGATCAGGAGCTATCTCATGGCAATCCAAGAAACAAAATTTGGTGGCCTTATCCTCTACTGAGGCAGAATACATGTCTTTATTTATTGCAGGTTGTCAGGCCCTATGGATACGATCCATTTTGTCTGAATTGGATCACGCACAAAGCCTTCCAACTACAATCTATTGTGATAATAGATCAACCATTGCTCTTAGTAAGAACCCTGTATTTCATGGAAAGAGCAAACATAGGATCAAGTTTCCACTTCATTAGAGAGTTGGTTGTTAATCAAGAAGTAAAGATTGAGCTTTGTGGTACTAAAGATTAGGTGGCAGATTGGTGATTAAGTACGACTCGTTTTTGACATTTTACAGGTCCTGAACGATATGTAAAAAAGGGTCTATGATAAGTATGAAATAATCTTCAATATATTGTTTTTATCGTCAAAACTAACATTGAGTTCAAGAAATACTAATAATTTATATAAAATCGTTTTTCCAACTATCAATAGACGCCAAAATCAGTTAATAATATATTGTTTCTAAACTAATGTTATCTATCTTATCATTTTTACATAACTTCTCAATCCATTCTGCCGTAAAAAAACCTATGATATACCTTTAATATATAGATTGACATCATTTATGGTCACGATTAATGTTGACTATTTGGAGTAATACTCTATGTAAATAAATATAGATCAATTGAGTTTCCATCTCGCCTCATATAATATTTTTCATCACCGTTTTAAACTTTAAGGGTTAAAACATTTTTTTTTGTAACAATCAATCTTAGAATCAAAAGGCTATGCACTAAATATTATGTAATAAGAAATCAATAATGTATGAAAAAAACATAAGTATTTTTGAAATCACAAATATAGATATAAGTTAGACTATCGTTGAGATTTTTTTTTTCAAAATGTAGGAGTTTTTTTTAACTAATAACAAGAAAGCTACTAAATTCTAACACAAAAATAGAATTAATGACGATAGAATAATCAAAAGAGGCAGTGGGGATGAATGATGAAGAACATATGAAAGTTTTCTGGACAACTAATTTTAGATTTTGATGCGAGATAAAAAAAACTTAGATAAACAATAAGCACTGCTATAAAATAAATGAAATTAACTTTTTACATATTTCTTTCTCCAATACAATTAATTAAAATATTTTTGATCCCTTACTATAATATTATATACTAAAAAATTATGTCTATTTTATTTACTAATTTTTATTAAACTAATACTATATATTGACAAAATATTGGGCACTTATATTAGCGATTTGAAACACATTGTGGAAGTGATTTTTCTCTATGTTTAACCTTTAGTTTACATGTTTTCGTTCATGGTATCAAAAAGTAACACAACAAATTTCATATTTAATGAAATTAATAAATGAAAGAAATTTATATCTAAAACACCCCAATACATCAATTGTTTTATATTCCATTTTATTAATATTAAATAAATTATATTTCATCTTAATTTTGTTAGATATTGTATAACAAAACAAATTTTATTACCACATAATACACGATACCATACGATAATATGTTTTTATAATAATATATTTTCTTCTTTTGTATAAAACCTTTAAATTAATCAAATAAAAAGCGTATATCATTAACTAAAATAAATGGTTGGATGGTTGGGTTTCACAGAGGAGTAATGGAGTTTAGGTTCACTTTTACATTTACACATTAAGTCAAACTTAAACATCACCGGTCACTCTCTCTCTCTCTCTCTCTCTCTCTCTCTCTCTTTATATATATATATATATACACATATTTTCTGTCTATATATAAATATATCCACACCCTTCCAAGACCAGCCAGCCACCCCTATCTAGCTGTTAACTCTTATGTGCCTCAAGATAAAAGGTGGTCCAAAGGGGAAGTTCACTTGGCCTTCACTTTCATCACAAAATGGAAGAAGGAAGAAGAGTCAAACATCCATCAAAGTCAACCATTATGGTCAAACCTAACTTCAGAAAGGTCCAAGTGGTTTATTACGTCTCCAAAAATGGTCAGCTGGAGCACCCACATATCGTAGAAGTAACATATTTGGTTCATCACCAGCTTCGTCTCAAAGGTTCTCCAATTTCTTTCCATCTTTTTTTACTTTTGATTTTGACTTTTGCTTTTGACTTTTGGATTCTTTTGCTCAATAATATAGATGTGTTGGAGAGACTGAGTGTTCTCAGAGGTAGAGGCATGCCTTCTCTCTACTCTTGGTCTTGCAAAAGGTAATTCTTTTTCTTCATTTTTGGATATATATATATATATATATATATAAAAGGCTGGGTTCACGTGAGACCAGCTTGTTTTTATGTCCACATGTCTACAAGTGTACATCATATATATAAATACTTATTGGATATGACATTTTTTGGAATGTTAACAAGTTTCATGATAATTTTGAAATAAAACGTGTTACTAGTATTTTTATATGATATTATTCGAAAATATGTTCGATAAAAGAAGTTCATGATAAATTTCTTAAAAATACCATGTAAAAAAACTAAAAATACATTTAAAAATGTTATAAAAAAACATGTTAAAGATGTCTAAATATATACTAACATTTTAGTATAACATGTTTATATAAGTACAATAGTTAGTTAGAAATTTTAAATAATTTTATTATAATGCATTAAAGTTTGCATTTCTTTTTCATGGGTTTTGAGGAAAATGAAAAAGTACGGTTCACAAATATATATAAGATTGGATGTGATGTAGGATGTACAAGAATGGATATGTGTGGAATGATCTGGGGGAGAATGATGTAATTTGCCCATCAGACGGAGAGGAGTTTGTACTAAAAGCTTCTCAACTTGTACACCACTCACCAGGTTACCCCCTTTTTCACTTGTACGACCCAAAATTTACAATAATTCTATTTTCATCACAAACAAAACTCGTGATTCACCACCTTTTTCATGATAATCACCGATAAAAAGGTAGGTTAAATACATCTTTATATGTTATTAAACGTTTAAATATATTCTATCATAAAGATGGTCAAATGGGTCCGGCTCGGCCCGAGATCGGTTATGGATCCAGCTCGAGACCGGCCCGATACATAGCATCAATATGGGCCTGGCCCAAGACCGGTCCTCAAAACCGGTTACAAAATACCTTAACATGGCCTCGGGTTTTTGGTCGGGACCGAGACCCAAACCGAGACCAATTACGGGAATAGTGTTTGGGACCCAAACCGAGACCAATTACGGCAATAGTGTTTGGAACCGGGACCGATTTAAGCCCAGCTCGGTTCGGGACCGATTTTTGGCCATCTCCTATCCATTACTTTTCTACTCACACACTTATCAAAATTAAGACTTATTTTTATATTATTAATACATAATTTAATGTGATTCTAATATAAATGAGATGCATCACCCATATAACAATATTGGGTAAAACACTACATCTTTTACTCTTTATATTCGGTTCTTTCGACTTAAGGTCTCTTGCTTTCGTTGCTTTGTCTTTGAAGAGTCATAGACTCATTTTCCAATTTTACAGGCTTTTTATTAACTTCTACTTGTCAAAAGGTGAAATCTGTTGTGGGCCTAGCTTTTAGCTACTAAAATCGATATTCCTTTTGGATTGGTATTTCTAGTTTAATTTGTTAAAAATAAATGTTTGTTTTAAAAAATAGGTATTTATTTTTCAATTTTATTATAGTCGTTCAAATTATTACTTTAATTATTATTAAGAATAATTTTATTATTTATTTGACTAAAAGTTATATCAACTATACATGTTTAAACTACATGTATTTTTTATATAGTGAACATTTATAATAAACTTATTGATGGTAGTGATTTGGACGGTATGATCCATGTTTGTGGGCCCAATTTTAAAAAGCGTAATTTTAGGACAGGTGAATTTTATTCACGCATCGTTTGAGAAACTGATTAAAAACCGAGAGCTTTTTGGATTTCTTTTGTTAGAGGCTCAAATAGGCGTTCGAAAGAGCAAACAGATGACACCAAAACGACACACTGAATTCAACCAAGAGGAATTGGATTTCGAAGCGAAGAGAACGAATGCTCCATCAAGATGTTCAAGGGAGGATGTAATGATCTCCACCCACGAAATGGAATTACTTCCAAAACCCACCATCGCCACCACATTATCACCACCATCGCTGTCAACCACCTCCGGCGAAAGCAACTCGACATCTAAGCGGTTCGAGGATGGCGATCCTTATAATAATAATCCAACTCTCACCCGTAACTCAGTGCTGCTTCACTTGATGGCATGCGGTGGCTCAATGGGGTTTAAAGCAAAAACCGACCATCATCCGCCACCCCTCACGGTGGCAGCAGCTAGGAAGAGCAGCAGTAGCAGCTCTAGCAGTTTGCATAAAGGTGTTTTGTGTAAGGCGGCGGTACAGCAGGCGGTGGCGGTGGTGGAGGATGAGATATGCTGCATGTCGGAGAATCCACGTTTTGGGAATTTGCAGAGGGGAGAAAGGGAGTATTTCAGTGGCAGCATCGTGGAGACGATGACCGAAGAGAGAGTTCAAGTCGAACCCATATTGAACAAGTCAAGTTCCTACAAAGAAGAAAGGTTTGTGACTCGTTTTTACTTGAAAAATCCTGGGTTTTTTTAGGGTTTCAAGAAAATCGAAGATGAAAGCTGACACCATTAATTGTTTATTGAAGCTTGAAAAAAGGGAGACAAAAGTAGTCGTATATAGATGTATGAATAGTAGTATATAATGGGTAAAAGATCGATCCATGAGGTTTTTAATTACTTATATGTGTATAATATGATGACAGAAGGTCCACGGCAACCATGGCAGTGGCAGAAGAGGAGGAAGACAGGAAGAGAGAGAAGGCAGTGGCAGGGAAATGCATACCAAAGAGATTTTGTTCAAAGCCCACCAAGATTTGACAAGGCGATGCTATGTCATATTATTGTTATGTATCCTTTTGACTTTTTAGCTTTTCTCGTATCTCTCAATGGTAAAACTCAAAGATGTTGATGTGAAAAGGTATCCCATTAATGTTAAAATCATAAATTAAAAAAAAAAAAAAAAAGTTAATTTCATTTTTCAACCATTTTAATAATATTTTTTCTTAAAAAACTAAAGTTTACAATAAAACTTCAGGTAGGTAAAAGGATAGTTTTCATGTATAATTTTTTTTTTCGTAAAATTTATTTTCAGGTAAAAAAAATAAATTAAAAAGGTAATTTATTAAGAAAAAAAACTTTATCCAAGAGAAAAAAAAAAGTCTTTACAATAGAAAATTGTGTAAAGCCCTATTCTACGTAAAGTTTTAATAGATAAAAAAAATTACATTTTATACCGTATACTTAGTTATTTAATTTATTTTGTCTTTTTTATTACATATTTATTATATTAACATACATAATCGTATATTAACAAAAATATATAAAAAAACATATTTCTTTTGGAAGTTTTCACCAAAATGATCAAAATATACCTAATATATTAACAAAATAGTCTTTTCTTCAAGTTTTTCATAAAATAACCTCACAGATCTCCCCATGAGGGCATGTTGACCATAAGGGGCTATCCAAGCTTCTTTGACCCAAAAAAGTACATGAAAATCTTTTACATTGATTTGAAAACCAACATGTATCTGATTTGGGGGACCAAACATCTAATTTTTCTTAAAATAGGGGGATAGCCCCCACCTACCCTAGGATCTTCACCCGGAGGCGATTCGACTTACACCATTGACTCCTATTTTGTTTTTAGTAAAAAAATCGATTTCACAATTAAAAGGTGTTTTCAATAAATGGGGGACGATTTTGACTGTTTTAGGATTAAATGTTGTGATTTTACTCTATAAAATCAAAAACTTCTATTCTCACAAACCGTAATCCTTAAATACAATCTAACATTACGACCGTTAACACAATACGAAATCACGTCAAACTTTATAATTTTTACTACACTTTTTTAAACGCGCAAATGAAACAACGAATGTTTTTATATTTTCTTATCAAAACTATTTTTTTATAACCATTGAATGTTAATATTTTTTAATAATTGTTGATACGAAAAAAAATATTTATGTCTGATTTGGGGAACAAAAGTAAGATATTATATTTGAAAAATACCGTATTTTTATAACCACCTACTTTGATCGCTATTTTGTCATTTAGTGGCCTACGATTTGACGATGATTTTGTCTTTATGTAACTAGGCGGTCAGAGGGGACCATTATCATCATCCCCACCGACATCCACCACTAGAGCCTATAGAAACACACCCCCTTCCAGCATGATGATCCCCCTCGACTATCGACCACCGATCACCGTCCACCGAGCAACGATGACCATCGATCAAGTACTGATTCGGAGATTGTCTCGAAGACTAGTCCGGAAACTGGATCAGGTACTGGTTTAGAGACCGTCTCGGAGACTGGTTCAAATCTTGAACCAAATAACTGTCATGATCAACAAGATGTTTTGGTTCAAAATATGAATTTTCACTAACACCATTGGGAATGAAAGTGTTTAGATTTCCACCACTACCACTGGCAATATTTTGTAAGGAATTATTTTTATAAAATAACCTGAAATGACTACGTAAAAGGATCTACAAAAATTTATACGTAACTGTTGATCCTCTCTCTCAGTGATTTGATGATAATCCCTTTTACCTATCGATGTAATTTTGTTTCTGTATTTTCAGTTCCAGCRATCAGACACTGAGTATGTTCAGTGATCGCTGAAGAACTTGCTTTGTAAATCTCAGAGACACAATACTTCAAGAAGACAACACTCACACCAAAGAACCTTCAGCGAATGTCGAAGACCGAAACTGAAGATTAGAGACTGGCGAGTACGTGATCTGAAGCGGTATT